AACAGGAAGTGTGAATGATTTGTTAGTCAGAGGCAGAGCAGCAGATGAAGTCTGGTCCTGGCTGAGCTGCCTGCAGATGAGCTCGATGTCCTGTCTTGCTGCCGTCTGAAGACATGATGTCAGACTGTGTAGCTCCTTGAACTGTGAATGTGATGTTGTGATGTGCTGGGAAGGTGGACAGGACCTTCCCATCACCTGCTGTTTACACTGCACAGTTGCTGTGCTGCCTGTGAACACCTGTCTGACATTAGAAGGATACTGAGTAACTGCTGAGTGCCTTAGCTGAAGACAGGTGCCGTTAAATCAACTATGTTCATACTTCAGCTGTGTTCACGTGCATTGTCCCTGTGTTTCATGTCACCAGGAACAGACCATAGTTTCTGTGTCAGTGTTTGAATGCACGTGAGACTGATGATCTTGTCTGTGTTTGGTTGCAGCTCGCTGTCCACTGTGAAGCAGGATGAACAGATATGAAGCTCCAGCGCTCGCCTCTGGCATCATCAGCTCCTCGCACATCAAGTCAGTACCTTTGCAGGTCTCCTGTCCATTTTGGCGTCTGCTGGGCTGGTGTCGGTATGCGCATGCAGTGGGTGGCGGTGCCAGTTAGCCAGGAGTTAGAGCAGCCTGTTTTAAAGAATAAATATCATGGCAGCTCAGTTTTTTCTAAGAACAGCTCAGATTAATATTTAATGGAAACTGAAGCTTCAGGTCCGCAGTTAAAGCCTGTAATGCATCTACAGCGTCACACTGAACACGTGCAGGCTCAGCCTGTCCTCATTAACAGGAGCATCTAAAATCACCTGGGTTTGCCTCGACAGTTCCAGTTCTGGTCCCTGAACAGGGTCCCGGTGGAAGTTTAGGCAGAGTAAATGGGCTTCAGTGTTGAGCACAGTGAAACCCGAGCTCACCGAAGCCCCGATCTCCTTATTTAATCAGCCGTCACAGAGTTGTGTCTGCAGACTGCCCGGTCAGTGGACCAGAGAGGACCCCAGGACCTGATCAGGACCTTTATCACCAGCATGGCCCTCAGTCCATCACCGCCAAAACGTATGCAGAGCAGTTCCCGATTTGACAACTTAAACAGTGCTACACCTGTGTGACAGTTCTGCTGTTCTCAGTGACTTGGCCTTGGATCCAGCTCATGTTGAAGTCGTGCGTGTGAGTTACAGGACTGTTGTTGTGGACCTCCACACTGTTTGGATGTCTCTGTGCTCAGTGTGAGACTGGGGAGGTTTGTCAGGCCTCTCTGCATTTATGTGGAGATTTATACAGTATGTATATATATCAGATTGACACTGAAGCAGCTGATGATTATTTTTTACAACTAATTGTTTAGTCCACAACAAACAAACATTTGTGACTAAATGAGACACTGAGAAGTGACCACCAGCGGTGTGTGAGCCAGAGAGTCGGCGTCCCGCAACACACGACAACAAAAAGGGTCAAACTGTTCATGACTCAGAAAAGGTTGTCTGAGGCAGTTGATTATCAAAATACTCTGTCGTTTTCTGTTGATCGACTAATCGTTGAATATTGTTGCATGTTGCTGATTAATTTAATGCTGATCAAATTAAAAAACTGTAAAAGCTCCTGCAATTAGTGATGTAGTTGTGTTTCCTGCAAACCGGAGCAGGTCAGTGATTTCAGTCTTGGTAGATAACTGTCTGATCTGGCACCTGCTGGTTAAATGTCAGTAATGGAAGAATCTCCATGTTTTGTGATTGATTTTGAACATGGTGGCAGCTGTTTGTTCTGCTGCTACATGTTCACTGTTGAGCTTTGAGACCGCATTTCATAAAGTGTGCACGTGCCCTGAATGAGGGTCTCCAGCTCGGTGGCTCTGTGGCATCTCGACCTCACCGATGCTCTGGTGTGAAGTCTGGGAACACTAGCGTGGGCTTTCACTCGTCCTCCTACTCTCAGCAGCGTTAGTCACTCGCATCAAGTACTAACGGCGTCATCAGTAAAAACTAAGTGAGAGTGTGTGAAGATGTCGAGCCTCGGCAGCCACCTGCTGTCACTTCCTGTCCTCGTGACGCTGGTCTGAGGGCGGCTCGGCAGGAGACCCGCACACATATGAACACAGCTGGATTTTACATATAAACCTGAACCCAAACTGAACTAAGTGTTGGTTTCTACTCGTGTTGTGACGACTCTAAGTGAAATGAAACCAAACGCAGCCAGATACGAGCAGAAGTCTCTGGAGCCACAGCAGAAAACAAACCTCACAGGGATGAGAGAAAGTAAAATGTTGGAAGAACAACGTTAACGTACTGTGAGAACAAGTTTTACACATGAGTCCAACGGGTTTATTTATTAGATCACTGTTTTCTTTGGGGGG